AAATTGAAAAATCCTTAAATTGAAAAATCGAAAAACAAAAACATGGAAGAAACATTGAAAAATCTAAAAATTGAAGATTCGTAAATTCGGAACGTCGGAAAATTGAGAAATCAAAAAATGAAAAGTTCGAGAAATACAACAAAATTTGCAGAAAAATAAAAAAATAAAAAATGGAGAAATCGAAAAATGGAAAAATTGACGAACTGCCTCTCAAAAAGAAATATCGAAAAGTGAAAAATCAAAAATTAAAAATTGCAAAAACTGAAAAATAAAAATATGGAAGAACCGGAAAATCGAAAAATCGAGAAACAGAGAAATAGAAAAATTTTAAATTGTAAAAACTGGAAAATTAAAATCTAGAAAAATTGAAAAATCTAAAACTTAAAAAACTGAAAAATTAAAATATCAAAAACCCAAGATATCGAGAATTCAAAATTAAAAAAAAAACAAATTGAAAAATTCCAAACTGAAATGAAGAAAAATTTTTAAATCGAAAACTTCAGAAACCGAAATATGAAAAGATCAAGAAATTGAGAAATCGAAAAGTCGAAAAGTTCAAAAATTGAGAAATGGAAACTGGCCAAATAGAAAAACCGTAAATTAAAAACTGAAAAAATTTAAAGAAAAAAAAAAATAAGTCGTAAAACTGAAAGATTGGGATATTGAGAAATCAAAAAATGAAAAATTCGAGTTACAAATTTACACAAAAACTGAAAATTCGAAGTCGAAAAATGGGAGGCAAACTGAAGAATCGGAAAACTGAAAAATGCAATAATCAATAAACCAAACATCAAAATCTTGATAAGTCGAGAAATTGAATAACTAAAAAATCAAAAAACCGAGAAACGGAAACATCAAAAAATCATCTAAAATTTAAAAAAACGAGAAATTAAAAAATCGAAAAAGTAAAGTTCTAGAAATTGAATAATCGAAAAGTCGAAAAAAAGAAAAAATAAACAAAATTGGAGAATCAAAAAAATTTTAAATCCCAAAACTGGAACATCGGAAAATTTAAAAATCAAGAAATTGAAAAGCCAAAAAATTGACAAATTTGAAAAATGAAAAATTGAAGATTCGAAAAATCGGAAAACTGGAACATCGAAAAATTGAGAAATAAAAAAATGAAAAAAACGAAATCCAAAATTTGTAGGAAAATTGAAAAATAAAAAATCGAGAAATCGAAAATCGAAAAGCCAAAAAATTGAAAACTTTGAAACGCAAAAAACTGAAAAATTTGAAAATTGAAAAATTGAAGATTCGAAAAATCCCAAAACTAAACTATCGAATAATTGAAAAATCAAAAATTTAAAACTTCGAAAATTGAAAAGTAAAAATATCGTCGAAAACCGGAAAATCGAAAAATCAAGAATTGGACAAATAGAAAACTCTAAAATTTAAAAAATTGGGGTATTAATATACATTGAAAAAATTGAAAAATCGAAAATTTAAAAAACTGAAAAATTAAAATTTCTAAAAACCGAGAAATCGAAAATCTCAAAATTTTAAAAAACGAGAAATTGAAAAATTACAAACCTTAAATGAAGAAAATTTGGGAAATCGGAAAATCGGAACATCGAAAAATTCAAAAACTGGCATATCGAGAAATCGAAATATCAAAAGATCCAGAATTTGAGAAATCGAAAAGTGGAGAAATCCAAAAATTGAGAAATCGAAATTGGCCAAATCGAAAAACCGAAAAGTTAAAAATTGAAAAAATGTAAACCAAAAAAATCGATAAATCGAAAAACTGAAAAATCAAAAAATGTTCAAAATTGTATAATTAATACACCGAAAAATCTAAAACCGAAAACATGAAAAATCTAATAAAATTGGAAAACAGAAATATCGAAGAACTGAATAATTGAAAAAATTTTAAATTCAAAAATCGAAAAATTCAAAAATCGCAAATGAGAAAAATCCAGAAATCGAAACTTCGAAAATTTAAAAATTGAATCAAATATTGAAAAATTCCAAATCGGAAAAACCTAAAAATTGAAAAAAGGAAGAAAAATAGGAAAATCGAGAAATGCAAAATTTGCAGAAAAATTTACAAATCAAAAAAAATCGAAAAATCTGAAAATTGAAGAATTGAATTGACTAATGAAAAATGGCAAAACTGAAACATCGATAAATTGAAAAATGGGAGACAAATTGAAGAATCGAAAAACTGAAAAATCGAATAATCAATAAATCGAATCAAAATCTCGATAAATCAAGAAATGGAATAATTAAAAAGTCAAAAAACTGAGTAATTGAAAACTTTAAAAACCGGAAAATCAAAAGATGAAAAAATGAAACATTCGAGAGATACAAAATTTACAAAAAAACAGAAAACCGGTTGTTCGACGATACTTTTACTTTTCAATTTTAGAATTTTTAAATTTTTGATTTTTCAATTATTCGATAGTTTAGTTTTGGAATTTTTCGAATCTTCAATTTTTCTAAAAATCCAATAATCAAAAAGTCGAAAAATAAAAAACTGCAGAATCAAAATGTTAAAAAATCCCAGAACTGAAATGGAGAAAAATTGGGGAATAGAAAAATTGAAAACTCCCAAAACTAAAACGTTGAAAAATTGAGAAATTGGGAAACCGAAAATTTGAAAATTTAGAAAAAAACCGAAAAAGTGGAAAAATCGTAAATTTGAAACATCGGAAAATTGAGAAATCAGAAAATTAAAAAATTTAAAAATCTGGAAATCCAAAATTTGCAGAATCGAGACACAAAAGAATTGAAAAATTGAAAAATCAAAAAATTGACGGATGAAAAATGAAAAGTCCCAAAACTGAGACATCAAAAAAATCGAGAAATCGAGAGTTGAAAAATTAGGAAATCGAGAAGCCCAAAAATCGAAAATTCCAAAAATTGTTATATATAGAATTTTGATTTTTTTTTTCCAAAAATGTCGATCTCTAGTACAAAAATTCAACACGTATTCATACACCACAAGTTCACGAATATGTTACATATAAATAAAATTTATTCAACAGAATTATAAGATGACATGATTAATTCCTGAGGAGGAATGAATTAATTAAAATTTAAATTTTGATTAACGATTTATAATCCTTACAATAATCTCAAAACGTTTCCAAGATTTCACAGTGTTCGATTTTGCAATTTTAAGGTTAAATTGTAGAATGTTGTTAAACACAGTTTTGACTTTTATTTTTCAAAAATCTGGATGCGTAAGGTAAAAACTCAACACGGATTCATAAACCACAAATGGAGGATGACGTTATTTTATCAAATTTAAATGAACATTTACTACTATATCGCTTATTAGCTTACGCTCACGAAGTAAAAACTTACGCTCTGAATCAATCAAGAGGATTTACTTGCGAAATTTTTAAAGTGACGTCATCAAAATTTTGGGTAGGGGTACACTTCAAAATGATTGGTTTAGTAGTTCCTACGACAAAGTGTAAAACTTTGTTGTTTAAGGTAAAAATACAGGCGGATTAATAAATCACAAGTATAAAAACATATTTAATAAAGTTATGAATGGATGACGTCCTGGTGGAGATGAATATATAAATTTTGGTCAGTGTTTAACGATCTACGCGTTAGTATGACATCTTGGCTCGACATTATTTTCCAGGTTTTTTTTTTATTTATGAAAAAGATTGAAGTTTGCGGGATTGTACTAACAAGTTGAGACATTTTTCCATGAATTTTAATTTCCTTGCAATTACGGACTATTTATATCTTGAATAAAAATAAAAATGAACACAAAAATTATTTTTGTTATAAGCACCGAAAGTGACGCATAGCATGACGAACATAAATGCAGTGCGAGAGGAACGATGCTTAGAAATGAGTCATGTTATCAGTAGCCGCAACATAAAATCTGGAAATCTATATTGAATTTTAAAATGTTTATCTATTAATTAATATTCTTTGAAATAGAAGGGCGCAAGGAAGCAACGTGGTACCATGTGACAAGCTCGGCCCTAACTTTTCGTCCACCCTAAAATATTCACACTTCCAGTACGACCCCCATTTTCCCGAAAACGCACATAGGTGTTTCGACGCTCATCATAATAAATTTTGCATTCCGGGGATTCATGAAAAACAAATGACTTTCTTCGGCTACACATGCACATATTTTCCAGACGCTCGCCGGTATTGTTTCGGAAATTGTCTTGTGTATATTTAATAGGCGAAGGGCGCGAGAACAGAAGAGTCGGCGTTTTTATTAAAAAATGCCATAAAGAAATGATCCTTATAGACGACGATAATTGTGAGAAAGTTGAACAAAAGTGGGAAAAAGAAAATTCATTCATTACTAAGCAACTACAGGGAGTAGAGTCAACGGTTAAATTCACGAGATCTTTAGGCGAGAGGTTCATTTTCCGCTATTTAGACCGTTTAAATGCATTTTAAATGGCTTCTTTTGTTTGATTATCTTGTAGTTCAAAGCGTACGGGAACGTTTTGTTATAACTTAATCATAGACAAAAAATGTTCAACAGTGCACCAATGGGTTTATTTTTTTGGCCGCGAAGTATCATGAAAACAAATGGCACAGGTGCTTTCATTTATTAGAAACAATGCGAAAGCTTGCGAAGATGGTGCAAAAAAGCACAAGAAATTACCTATTAAGACGTGCGTGATTTCTGTAATCGATAAACAATACTCTTGTGGCAAAAATTACAACGAAATTTCGGTTGAGCCTAACGTGTTTCGATGTAATTAGCGTTCTTAAATAATTATACTTTCGGATGGTGGGTAGGCAACCAGTAATTTAGGTAGAAATATAGATTGCTACCGAACTTACGGAAGCAGTGATTTCGGCACAGTTGACGATAATCAACAAACATGATCTGATCTCCCGGATTACCGCCTCTGACCATCTTAAAATATTTATCCAAGCATCAGTGCGGTTGCGGTAAAAGTATTCGATGTATCGACCCATTTTCACGTCGCAAAAGCAAACTGCTCTACTATCATGAACTGGCTACGTTTTACTGGATAAAGTGTTTGGACAAATGTACTTACGACAGCATCCCTCACTGCTACGAGTTTATCGCCGACGAGGAGACGACCATCCACTTGAGCAGCGCCGCCCTCCATCACTTTTGTGACATAAATACCGTTATCACCGGGGATGTGCTGATTGCCTATGCCACCGGCGATGCTAAAGCCGAGACCTTTGTTTCCCTTTACCAGCTCGATTTCCATCAGTCTCATACTGCGAGGCTGCCGCCGTCGTCTGACGCACTGAAAATACACACATTGTTACATTTTCACAGATTTTTACTAGACATAATAGTATAGTTTTGGTGAGGTGCGGTAATTATTCATTATCGCATCGCACGGAAGCGTAATAATTAATCCCCGCAAAAGTATAACGCTTAGTGGCCGCGCTTTCCGGCCCTCACTAGAACTCAAACCGAGAGAGAAAGCCTTTTCGAGCTTCCATTATTTGTAATTAAATCTAAAATGAAAAAGCTGTATGCAGTGGATGCCTCTATTGTTGTCCATATCGAATTTTCTTGAGCGCCTTTCATCTTTCATATGAGCTATTATTTACTTGGCTTGAAATATATCTAATCGGATCTTCTGCAGGATTGGAGTTTTTATTTTTCAGAAAACAAACTGATATTGCTGACTTGCACCGAATTATGTTCAATTTTGTTGATCCCCATGTCATGGGTGAACGAAGCGAAATTGGAAAAACTTTACTGTGGAAATATTATCTGTCCAGATTGTGTTTAACTTTTGCGGGGTTATAATAAAAAGCGACAGTGAAAGGGCAGCGTAGACGAATTGTGAGGAGTCGGAAATGGTAATACAATTACGAACCAACAATGCAGTTGTACAATGTTATTGCAGCTTTATTATATGAAAACACAATATATGGAATTGACCTGAGTAATGTCCAACAGTTTCAAAGACCTCTGATGTTTTTCTCTCCGCAGGTATTTAGTTGGATTCTAAGTGTCGAATTTTAATCATGCCTTCATGAAGCACTTCTCTCCCGTTTAAAGCCAACGTGTTTCGAACTTGAATGGAAAACAGAGTTCTTAGCCAGCAGCTGAGCTCCTTTGTTGTCATTCAAGTAACAAAAGTAAAAGAACACCAAGAAGGAATCGTGATTTTGTAATGAAATTTTATACACAGGGTAAGGGTTGTCAAAATAAAAATTAGTTAGAATTTCAATATTATCGGTCCAGTAGTTTTAAGAAAAACAATTTTTTTTCTTGTACACTGAAGAAGAACGATTACCTTGCCTGACACGTCAATCCATTAACCTATGATGTCATCAACACTATTCTGGAGTATTTCATCCTATGCCACCTATACTTGGTGCTGAAATCCTTCCAAAGACTCTGAATAGCGGAGCAATTGGGTAGCCTCCTGCCTATTATCTTTCGATTTTGATTGACTTCACTGTTGACAACTTTTGTAACTTCCCTTCCACTAGACCAAATGGTGTAAAAATATACAATTTGAAGAAAGCCGATTATCTTTCCTTATATCAGGAATTATTAAATACGGACTGGTTCTTTCTAAAAAATTGTGAAGATGTCGATAGTATCGTAGATCGGTTTTACAACGCTCTATATCATATTTTTGATAAGCATGTCCCAACTTATCCAAATCAATTGACTAAGATGCAGTTTCCGCGATGGTTCAATTCTATGATTATCAATAACATTAAATTAAAAGCTTAATAATAAACATGACCACACTAATGATAACTCCTATTACGTCAAATTGAAACATTACCATACTATTATTAAAAATCAAATTTCTCTAGTTTATGAAGAATATCTGAATTCCATTCAAAATTAATCTATCGCAAGACCCAAAAAATTTTGCTCCTATGTAAAATCATCATTTCTTTAAATTTTCCAAAAGACATCGTCAACGCACTTGCCACATTTTTTCAGCCGTCCTATGTTTGGCCTCAGAATTCAAAAGCTTTTTCGGTGTCTTCTTCTGATTACCTTTCTTTATCTATACCCAGTATTACCCAGAATGACACTTTAGTCGCACCAAATAAAGATTTATCGATTTATTTAAATAACTATTAAATTTTTCGATTTTGAGTAATTCTGAACTCGCAGTTTTTCGATTTTTGATCTTCCTGACTTTTCGATTTCTCGATTGTTCAACTTTTCGATGTTTCGATTTTCCAATTTGTGGATTTTTAATTTAAAATTTTTCTACTTTTAGATTTTTTGACGCTTCAATCCCTGGATTTTTGAATTTTTCGATTCGCAGATTTTTAAATCTTTCACTTTTTCGGCTCTTCGACTTCCCAATTTTTGGAAATTTTCAGTTTCTAGATTTTTCAATATTCCAAATTTTCAGTTTTTGATTCTTAAATAAATTTTTTTAAATCTTACATTTTCCAGTTTTTTGATGTTTCGATTTTTGGACTTCTCGGTTTTCAGATTTTTCCATTGTTTCGTTTTTGGATTTATCGATTTTGGACAATTTCGAACTCTCAACTTTCGATTTCTAGATTTTTCAATTGTTAGACTTTTTCGCTTTCGATGTTCCGATTTTTCAATTTTTCGATTTCCCAATTTTTTATAATTTTATTTTTGGAATTTTTCAGTTTTTCAATTCTTCAATTACCGATTTCCAAATTTTTGATTTTTTAAATTTTGGAGTTTTCAATTCTTCGGTTTTCCAATTTTTGATTTTTAAATTTATTTTTTTTTCAGTTTTTCCTTTCTTTGTTTTTTCGATATTTTAATCTTGTTTTTAGTTTTTTAGTGTTTTAATTTCTAGATTTATCGATTGTTCAGTTTTTAGATTTATCGTATTTTTTTAATTTCGAATCTTTCAACTTTCCAATTTTCAACTTTCCGAGTTTTCGATTTTGGACTACTTTTAGTTTCTCCATTTTTCTATTTTTCAACTTCGCGGCTTCTCGATTTTTCATGTTTCTTTGTCGATGTTTCAATTTTTACATTTTTCGATGTTTCGATTTCTAGATTTTTCAATTGTTCGACTTTTTCGTTTTCGATTTTTGGATTTTCCAATTTTTTGATGCTCCGATTTTTCAATTTCCGAATTTTTCTTCATTTTATTTTTGGAATTTTTCAGTTTACCGTATTTTCTAATTTCAGATTTTTTAAATCTTGGATTTATCGATCTCTGGACTTCTAGATTTTTCGATTTCTCGATTTTTGTTCAATTTTCAGATTTATCGATTTTTTTAAACTTAAATCTTTCAATTTTTAACTTTTTGATTTTTCGAGTACTCGATTTTTGATGTCTCCTTCCTCAATGTTTCAGTTTAAAATTTTTTTATGTTTCGATTTCTTGATTGTTCAGTTTCTAGATTGATCTTTTTTTTATTATAAATAAGTTTTCGATTTTTCGACCTTTCGATGGTTCGATTTTCCAGTTTTTCAATTTTTGGATTTTTCATTTAAAATTATTCTACTTTTAGATTTTGAGGCTTCAATCCTTCGATTTTTGAATTTTTCGATGTTTCGATTCGTAGATTTTTTAAATGTTCGACTTTTTCGGCTCTTCGACTTCTCAATTTTTCCTCGTTTAATTTTTGGAATTTTTCAGTTTCTAGACTTTCAAATTTTCAGTTTTTGATTCTTGAATTAATTTTTTTAATTTTACATTCTTCAGTTTTTTCATGTTTCGACTTTTCGACTTGTCGTTTTTTTTTTTAATTTTGAATAATTTTCGAAGTTTTTCGACTTTGGACAATTTCGAATTCTCAATTTTTCGATTTTTGAACTTCTCGATTTGTGGAATGTTCGATGTTTAGATTTTCGTTTTTCTTTCAATTTTTGGATTTTTAATTTAAAAATTTTCGCTTTTTAGATTTTTTGACGTTTCGATCTTCGATTTTTCAATTTTTCCATATTTTAATTTTTCAATTTCTTAATTTCGGTTTCTCGATTTCTCTTTTTTTCCATTTTTCAATTCTTCCATATTTCTATTTTTGAATTTTTTTATTTTTTGAATTCAAAATTTTTTGATTATTCACTCTTTCAGTTTTACAATTTCTTTATTCGATTTCTCAATTTTCAAACTTTTCAGTTTTTGGAAATTTTAAAAGTCTGCGTTTTTCAGTTTATCGATATTTTCATTTTTGGAATATTTGATATTTGGAACCTGTTGATTTTTCGACTTTTCGGACTTCGCTTTTTTGGTTATTCAATTTATCGACATTAAAAAATTGTTGATTTTTCGACTTTTCAGTTACACGGTTTCGCAACAATAAGGATTTTGCAATTAAATTCCGCTCCTTTCGCTCTCGAGGATTAAAATAAAATCATCACAATTGAGATAGGGTGGTTGGGCGGGGCTTATATGTTGCCTTATGTCTTAATTTACGTAGTGTTTTCAGAACAACAAACTTAAAACATCAAAAATTCTTTTACTACTGGACCGGACCAGGGGTGGGATTTTGTTTCTACCGTACGATACGAAGCGATAAATGAGAAGGACGAAAATATAAATTTCAGATGCGAAAGAAAAAGACGACCACATTTTATCGGTACCGATATTTTATCGTTATAGAAACAAAATCCCACCCCAGATCCCAAATTTTGTGATACAATACATCTTTTTGTTGAACCTTTGTTAGTAATTTTTAATGTTGTCGTTACCAGGCGCGGATTCAGGGGGGGCAATGGGTGGCAACGACCGAGGTACTTTATTTTGACCAATTTCAACCTCTATAAACAGAATTCACGATTATCCGAACATCCAGAATCCCAACAGAGGCTATTTGAAATCGATGCTTCTTTAATCCGAACAAAAACTCTGCAATCCGAACTGAACTTGGAAACACGCACCAACTTGCCAAAATGACGCAAGATCTTTCTGCATATGTTGTATGGAATATTTTGAATTTTTTAAAAATTGCGATATTTCAATGCACTGAATTAATTAACTAATTCTGGAAAAAAAGTTGAAGTTACCGAAGAAATGAGGCCCGAAATCTACAAGAAAAAGGATTTAGTTAAACTTCGAAAATCGTCGAAATTGGGTCGAAATGAGGAAACTTTCATTTTTGAAAAAGTTTTCTAAAAATTCTGAAAAAATTCAGGGGTATATCTATATCCCCACGTGCTGATTCCAAAAATATAGCATGTTAATGGTAACCGAGCAATATTTTCGGAAAATTCGGTGTGAAATTCGAATTTTTCGAAATTTTTAAAAATTGCGATATTTCAAATGGACGAATCTGGAAAATGGTTTGTTATCAAAGAAGTGAAGCCAGAAGTGAC